TGCGCCCCGAAACTGCTCTCAGCAGGCACGTCAGAGAAAATGACAAACACAGCAAAGCAAATGCTTGTCCCTTCCCTCTGCCTTCTCATCTTCTTCCCGTCCTATCCAACAAAAAAGATAAGGCAACCTTTCTTTCTCTCGTAGCCTAAGTTGGAGAAATAGAAAACAGGCCTGCAAGTCTTCAGAAAGAAAGAACAAGGCAAGTTTCCATGGGTTAACGTCCTCGAGTCCTGGCGCCGCCTCCGCGTGAGTTGGGATGGGCCCGGGAATAGGGCCTGTTTCCGTGAGAAGTAAATGAAGGCAGGGACAGGAACAAATACCAGGCTGCAGGAGGACAAGCGGCCTTTTGTGCTCCAGACACGTTATCTCATTCTACCAGTGATTCACCGTGAAGAGCGAGTTCCATGCCAGGTGAAACCTCTAACTTCTTTCGTTCGAGAAATAATCCTTCTGTTATCACCGTTTATCTCCAGGCAACCGATGAGTAAAGCGCTTCGAACAAAAGATTAGGTAGGTAAAAAGTATCGATTATACGTATGCTGGAGAAGAAGGACACAGGACAGCCACAGGATCTTTACGTCATAATGGCGGAGGGAAAAGGCTAACGCTGCTACTGCACACCACCCTTCTCTCCCGTCCGCCCTGACCAGACAGCACCAGAAGTTCCCGTCTACGGTCTGTCCTTCCTGAAGTGGCTGTGCATGGAGAGCGGAGCTGAGGCTGGTGAAGGCTTCCAGACCCCCAGTGAAAGGTGCTGTTTTAAGTCACCCCACTCACTACAGATGGAACAGGCAGGGCGGGGGCTCTAAGGTACACAGTGAGGTCTGTTCTGAGATGAGGAAGATCCAAGGCCGCCTTTATTATTGCAGATACGACACCCAGGGTAACGAAGGTGCCCTATAAAAGCCACTGCTGCTGATAAAGAGGTGCTGGGGACTCCTGGACAACTTCACTGTCACACTTTGGGACACAGTCTCTCGCTCTCGATGCCCATGTGGATGTGCTCGTGGTCAGACGTGGCCTTCTGTGTAGATGGCATAAAAATAACGAACAGTGTGGCTAATGTGGCTTTTTCACATCCAACCTAAGATCTTTCATTTTTTAAATTCAGATATTCAATCACACTTAGCGTGGCCAGATTTTCTCAACTAAAAACCTTGTCAGTAAAGTATATTGAAAGGGACCATGGAGGAGACGACTGGAATGAGACTGGTGGGACATCTGGTAACTGTATCAGATTCTGCTGGACAAAGAGGCCTCATGTGATTCTTGTGGTTCGTGGTGACAATAAAGGAGGTCCCCGAGTCTCGGGATGGTATGGGTGCCACTGGGCTGCGCTGACGGGGTGGGGATGGAGGGACCAGAGTGAAAGAAGAGAGAGAGAGAGAGCAGTAAACAAAAGAAGAAAACCAGGTGTCAAAGTTGGGCCCAGGAGCTGAGTCCTGGGCTCAGCGGGGAAAATGAGTACGAAAAAGCCCATCTTCTAGAGGGGACGCAGAACCTGAGCCTGGGGCAGGCCAACTGCCGCCCTCCTCGGACGGTCATTGTCTAAGTCTGTTGAGGCTGCCGTCACAAGGGCCTATTAACTGGGTGGCTTGCAAACAATGGAAACTTTTCACAGTTCTACAGGCTGGGAAGTCCAAAGTCAGGATGCTAGTGTGGTCAGGTTCTGGTGAGAACCCTTCTGCATGCTGCAGACTATCATCTTCTCATTGTATCTTCACGTGGTAGAAAGAGAGTTCTCTGGGACATCCCTTATAAGGCACTAACCCCACTCATAATGACTCCGCAACCAAAAACCAATATGCACTGCATTACATGACATGGTCTGGCTGTAAGAGCTGAGACCTGGCTCAGTGGTCTCAACGTGCCAAAACTTGTGCACTAATGTTCATAGCAGCATGATTTATAATAGCTAAAAAGTAGAAATAACCCAAATCCATAGAGACAGAAAGTAGATTAGTAGTTGCCTAGGGGTGAGGTACCGTGTAAAGGGAAGGAAGGAACCGGAAGTGACTCCTAATGAGTAGAGATTTCTTTTCAGGGTGAAAACGTTCTGGAATTCGACAGTGGGAATAGTTGCACAACACTAAATATACCAGAAACTAATGAATTTTATGGTATGTGAATTACATTTCAATACAACTGTTACAAATGTTTCTGAAACGTCATGCTAATTTGTAAGTGCTCTAAATAATTCTGCTAGTAGAGCCCACAAAGAAAAGTCCACAGAAGCGAGGCACGAGACATACGAGTGCGGTGGGTCATGCGTGGCAGAAAGAGGGAGTGGTGGGGACTTGGACGAGGGGAGGGACAGCCCACTCTGAAGGAGTCCAGCTGCCAGCCCGCAAGAACGCAGCCCGCTGTTGCCGGATCTTCCATTTTTCAAGAGAAGTCAGAAACCTGGATTTTTACACCTCTCAATGTTTTAACACTGCCACTGAATTCATACTTTCTTAGTGACATCACTGAGAAAGTTAAGTAAAATATGTCTGTGGGCCAGAGGATCCCTTGGTAGCCGACTAGTGACCTGGGGTCACTTTCTGTTGCCATTAGTAAAGCTGACTGCTCTGGAGGACCTCGGAGGCCTTTGTACAATATACTGAGTAACCTCCACACCTCGGCAAATCCATCCGGTTGAAAAACACTTATCAGAGGCCTCCTAGGTATAAGGCACTACAAGGTAGGGGCAGTGTGACACCAGAGTGTAAGTCCCAGACAGAAAGTGTGGCATTTGCGAGGGGGTGGCTCCTGCAGCCTGCATAAGACGGCTCTGCACACGCCACTGAAGCCAGGCTGCTGAGTCCCAGTGCCCTGCTGGGCCCCAGCTTGAGATACTTGAAACTGGCTCTGGACTATCTGAATTGTTGACATTTCCTGGCTTTGGCGGACAGCAGGAGGAAACAGACTCATGGTTTCTCAGTGCGCTTATGAGCACCAGTTCAAGGGCAGCTCGTTCTTCCAGAGTCAGGAGGGAATAGACACTTGAGTCCAGGTGTTCTGTAGGCTGGAAGAGATTTAAATCCCCGAGTTGGCTTGAAAGCAGAATATTTTTTTCAGTACTTCTCTCCTCCAGAAATTTCCCAGGGCAGGGAGTTTTGAGGCAGATATATCACTGCTCACATAATTGAAATAGCAGGTGAATAAAAGAGGGAGGGGTCAGCTGACTTGACGAAGGGTCATACAGGTGTCCTTGAAAATAAGCAAGTACTGGAAAATAGATTTGTGTGCTTTCTCAGAGACACAGGGAACAGATTGTTACAGTTAGTTAAGGGGCTGCATACAAATGCCACTCCTTTTGTGTGGATGTCTGCAAATCCCCACCGAGCCAGCAGCCACTCGGAATCCAGGTCAGCCAGAGAACGCTGAGTGGGAACATGTCTCCGAGAATGGCTCCCCTACTCCTCCCAAAGCAGCACACTCAGATGGCGGCCTGGAAGGGTCAGTGTCCTGCAAGCCTTTGCAGCTCCCAACCTCATTACGAAATATATGAGTCATATGTAGGAATATAACAGAATCCAGAGTGTGTTCTGCCACAGAGACAACAAACATGGTTGCGAAATACCCAGTTAGTGATTCCTAAAACTCTACACAGTAAGAAGCAATTCTTGATCCACACTCTTAAACAGAATACCCCCTCGACCATCCTTGGCCCCCTTTTTCTTCTGCTTAATTGATACGACCAGCTTCCAGTGCTTCAAGTACTTCTCAGCTGATCTCTTTCGGGACCCATACGATCTGCCTACCGGGCTTCTCCCTGGATCCAGGTCTTCTCCCTGGAATGCCCCAGGCAGAATGCACCTTCGCTGCAACTCATCGGGTCACAAAGTGACCTCATCCTTCTCCAAGGCTGACCTGAGTCCCTGACCTGGGCATCCTCCGAACATCAACCCTTGCATCCAACCCGTCACTGTGGTCTGTCCATTTGACTTCCAAGGTGCATGTCTAGTCTACCCCCTGTAACTCTGCCCCTGCTACTACCACTTCCAGACTACGCAATAACTTTCTAACAGGACTCTTTTCTCCCACCCCACACTATCAACAGAATTCTCTTCTGAAAACATAATCAAATGAAGTTATTTTTTCTTAAGAACCTCCATAAGCCTCCTCCTTCAGTGCTTACAGGATAATGCCTCAGTATGCTACACAAGGCCCATCATGATCTACCCCAACTTAACCTACTTCGGCTCATTTTTTGCCACAACCCCATTTTTTAAAGTGTCTTACTGTACCTTACACATGCTATGCTCTCTCACACCTCTGTGTTTACACACGCTGTTGCCCTACCCATGATGTCCCTCCCACCTTTGTCAATCGGGAGAATTTCTTTATGTCCTTGAAGTTTCAGCTCAAGTGTTTCCTTTGCAGAAATACCTGCTGCTTCTTCTGTGTTTTCCCAAGTATTTGGCTCCTGCCAATCACAAAGCACTAATATAAGGAATAACTTCAGGTCCCAGGGGATGTCTTCTTCACAACCGTATCTCCAATGTAGTATGCTGAGGTGCTAACTATTATAAATGCCTGTGAACTGAATATATAAACCAGGAGATTAAAGCATTACAAAAGCCAGAGAAGTGGACTTTCCATTGTTGTGTAAAAGCATAATCATGAATCTAAAAGGGAACATTTCTACTACAATAAACTTCTTGATGAGGAATATCAGCCAGAGAAAATCATGGGATCACAATATGCATAGCCTTGGCTTAGACCACCAGCACCGATTGCTCAGTCCTACAAACACGGTCTGTTAAGGAAAACAATCAGTGTGGGACCCGACAAATGACAGCCCCGTCTGTGTGTTTACTATTGTTATCGTTATTAGAGGGTTATAATCTGACCATTAGTCCATTTAAATAGATATAAAAATAAGTTGTCATAATGGAACTCGGCTGTCTAAGTAAGTAGCCTGCAATAGCTGACCTTATGTTCAGAAATTAAAATACCCACACATACCCACGTTGCCTAATGCACATGAAAACACCCTGCTTCAAACACATGAGTAAGCCAATGGCCTTTGGCCACAGATCCAAAGGCTGACATCTGAGGACAGTGTGCATAAATGCTTTTGGCAACATCTTCTAGGATTTTCTATAAACCAGCATCAAGCCAATTTATCTGACCTCCTTGATCTGCACAGCCATCCGGCACCTACAGCTATTTTCTAGAGGCCTGAATGAGTCAAAAGAAGAAAATGATTAATCAACTCGCCGAGATCTGGGAGCTGGAAGAGAGCCATCCTGTGAGTAACCCTCGGAGCTGTGGGACCACAGCCACTGGAAACTTAGGGGATTTCCACAGTTGAAAACACTTGGCCGGTTTGCTAGGGTCCTCTGACCTCGCAGTACAGACAGAACAGGCCGAAGGGGGTGATCTACCTCTGACGATGTCCTGTGTCTGCTGCCTTTGGCTGTTCACTCTGACTGGACGAAACCAAAGTTATTCCCCCTGAGACTCAGGACTTTGGAAGTGGCTCAGAAAATTCCCTGTGCTTTTTCCTCCCAGTGGATGCCATTCTCAGTCCTTGGCTTCACTTTTATGTAGAGTGAGGCTTAAATTAGAAGTGTATGTCCAGCAACTGACACAGTACTTGGCAAACAGGAGGTAGGTCTGCTCTGTTTTAGGCCAGGTTGGTCTCCCAACACTCAGGGCAGATAGCCCCCCCTTGCTTTTCCGTTCTGACAGTTGTTAACATGGCGGCGCCATTTAAAATCACTTCTCCTGCTGAAGGTTCCTGTCATTTGCCACTGTTCCCCATTTTATCCATTCGAATTCTTCCACTCCTTTTTCATCAGGGGCTTGATTTCTGAGGTCGTGTTTTTAAAGACACTACTCTAATCATTGCCTAGCTTTCATTTCCCACAGAATACTTCAGACACTGTGTCTGAGTAGTGTAAATGCATGTCCCCCCTTTGTTATTTAACAGGCGATGTATTATGGATGCAAGGAGAACTTCTCAAATGCCTGACCTATTTGTCTCTGCCGTTATGTCTCTTCTTGCATTTTCTTGCCCTTTCATATTATATGCACTGCCCTCTTCCTTCTCCCTTTCATTTAAACATATGAATCACTTGGATTTTTATTGCCATCTCTCCTGGTTCTGCTTTCTGTTCTACCACTGCATCTACGATACATTCTTTGTGTCTGCTATCACTAACGTGTCAGCAGGATATACTAACGCCTGATTGTTTATTGAGCTCTTGTCCCTGTTTTTCTCTTTAACATCATCTGCTTTCCTTACATAATTTCTTAGGACCTCATCCATTAACTTAATGAAGAAATAAACTTGGGCAAAGCTTTCTGTTTAACTCTGTTCCCTGCCAGAAAAAAAAATCCAAATACCTCTCCACTCAGCAAACTAGTTGCTTGAACGTTGTCATACATCTCACATTCGCATACAAACATATTTATGTAAACTCTCCCTGACAGGGTCCCTATCACTGACTGGTGTGTCACAAGGCACTCGTTGAGCAATGACAGCTGTTGCTTTCACTGCACTGGCTTGCAGAGAGGGCCCTGGGGATTTTGCCTTTTGGCCCACAGGTCAGTAAACACGTTGGGGATTAACACGGAAGAGATAAGAAGCTCGGGAGTAGGGGACTAGAATGTTGATTTGAAGGAGGAGAAAGGAAGGGAATTTCAGGAAAAGGAACAGAAATGATGGATTGAAGGACAGCTAGATCAGGAGCGGAAATAGAATGAAGATCTCATGGAGGGTTAGCAACGGGAGTGGGAAGAGGAGAAGGGGGGAAAAGGTACAGAAAATAAGTAGCATAGATGGTAGGTAGAAAATAGTTAGGGGGGAGGGCAAGAATAGTATGGGAAATATAGAATCTAAAGAACTTGAGACACATGGTCATAAACTAAAGGGGGGCAATAGTGGGGGTAGGGGGAGCAGGGTGGAGGGGAATGAAGGGGGGAATAGAACAACTGTAATGGCATAATCAACAAAATAAAAATGAGAAAAAGAAATGATGGATTGGAAGATCAAATAAGGGAAAGAAAGAGAGAATGAAATAGGGTTAGAGAAAAGAAGATTTAAAGGGAAAACACAAGATTAGAGAGAGGAAAGTGGAGTGGGCATAGAAAAGAAAGAAGTTAGGGACAGAGGCAAGGAGAAAAGAAAAGGGTGGCTCACAGCGGGCTGCCCCCTCGGAAAAGAAAGCATGAAGGAAAATATTTAGGAGTAAGTAAGTGCAGATGAGGAAATGGTCCAGATCAATGTGTCATCCTCACGTTAAAATCCCCTTTGTTATTCTAATCTACTATCCACACTACAACTTCCTGTGATAAATCCCTCAGCCTATGTATGACACCAGAAAAATCTGTCTTGCTCCTTCCTTTGCAGTCAGTCACTCTCACCAAAGCCCTCAAAGGCTCAAATCCTGCCGCTCTGCACAACTCAAAAAAAGGAACGTCAGGCACTGAGAGCTTCTGATAATTTACCTCTAACGACTGACTGGGCTTTACTTTGGCCTTCCCTTGTGATGATAATGACAGTGGTGATTTTTATCACATTCCAAGAATTCTTAAAATACGTTTTGCTACAGGCAACTACAATAACCAAGTTGCCTCTTGTTAATTACCGGTTTAAATTTGGAAAGTGTCCTGAAGACAAAAGGACACGAAAATTACAGCCAAGCACTCCTAAACTGGATAAGTATCTTTATGGTGACTTCTAAGAAAAAGAAATCCCTGCACAGCTGCCCATTTCTTTGGCTTTAAGGATTCATTGATTCCTCCCCTCTAGAATCCAGCAAAACAGGTTTGTAGTGGAGATCTGTGGTCTTTGACCCTCCTCTGATTTGGTAGGAGCACCCCGGTTTTAGGAACTGTCCTGACCTTCGTTCGTTCCAGGTGGTGCCGGTGGGACTGTCGATCAAGGTTCAGGGACCTTGCCAAGGAATAGACTTATAACCCAAGCCAAACAGCCAATCAGAATCTCTCCTGGAAACGTGACTAATCAGTGGAACAATAAAGATCAGGAAATGTCTGCAGTGGGTGCATCCCAGAAGTGCTACTATGACCCAACCATCAGTTTCTGTTTCCTTTTCCTGGTCTGGAAACCTGCTGGTTCTACTTTTCCTTCAATTCTATGACCTAGTCCATATCCACAGAAAACTGCTGTTTTCTTTTAAGTTAGCCATAGTTAGTTTCTGTTTCTGTAATCAAAAAGTCTCAACCAATATAATCTATGTTATGTTGCATCAAAAAGTCACCTGTGTGAGACCATTCTATAGTTTGATGCCTTTTGTAACCTCTCGACTACAAGACTTTTCTCTGTACCTTCTCAGCCCTGGATACACAGTTGAAAAAATTTAACTGATTCTGAGGAGCAGGGACAAAGTGCTCGGACATGCTAGAAATAATGAGTTGCTTCAACCTCATCAAACTCGAAATTTTTGTATGAGATAAGGATGTCATAGCCTGGACGATAATGACACCAGCTACTGGTCAAAACCATTCTGCCAAACCCTAAACCACTAATGTACATGTGGCAATCTAGACAGCAGGGTAGGATACAAGGATACAACTGATTTACAATATAGCTGTGATCCTGGCCCCAAGTAAAAGGCTTGTGTAACCAAAAGCTATAGGAAGCCCCACCCTGGGGCTGGGGACACTTGCTCTGTTGGTTACAGTTTTCAGGGCCTGCCTCTCTGTCTGGACACAGGGTGACTGACAGACTGGAGAGGGACCCCTGTCCAGCATGTGCAAGGGCCTTGAAGGAATAAGGCTGAGCCAAGGACAGGAGACTGGGACCTTGTCACTCGCAATATTCCGGAGACTGCTCTACTCAGAAATGAGCTCTGAGCAGGTTAACCCCGACTTCACTGCAGATGTCTACTCTATGAGGTCATTTCTTGGTCACCCTGCTACATATAAGACCATGAAAGTGGCAGGAATCATGAAAGACCATGATTCCTGTCGTGGTGGAGATAAGTAAGCCAGAGGCATCTTATATAATGCCACACTCTTACCTACATGAAAACTGTCCAGAAGTTTCAACATCTTGACTCTTATCACACGCCATTCTAAAATGCAGTGAGTGTGTTGCTCACCTTATCCATGCAGGCCCTGCCGGGAAAGAGTTTTATAAGAAGTGCTAACTGCCAAGAATTCCACAGGTGGGCCAAGAACGCAATTAGGCCAACAGGGACTAGGTTCCCCAGTTCCTGGCCATGGAAAAGACTGGCCAGTAGGGTGACTGTAAATCAGTATAAAAGGCTGAAATATGTACAACTCAATATAGAAGAAAAGAGCTGCTTCTCAGCTGTCTATTTATAAATGAGCTTTCATTTATAAACTTTCAAAAATATAAAGCTATGTCTTATAAAGGTGCCAGTCAACTTTGCCCATCAACACAAGAGATTAGCTCTTGCATGAAGTATCTCTTTGGTGGCTTAGCAACAAGTAGACTTTTGGAACCTGTATCTTTACAAGTTAAGAACTTCTGTGGTACTTTTAGAGAACATTAGGTTTTCTCCCCAAATCTCCCAGCTTCTAGAGCTCCAGATAGGTCACTGAGAAAATCATGCTTGATTCCCACACTCATAATGTACAGAAAGCTACGAAACCTGAGACCTGGAAGGGACCTTAGCAATCACTTAGATTAAATTCCATCATTTTGCAAAGGTCAAACTGTATGTGAGGTCCAACCACGAAGTAATTACCTTGATCTTCTCCCCGCCCCCGCCCCCCCAAGAAGTGGTTACTTGATGTCGGTCACACAGCTGGTCGGCGGCCAGGCTAAATCCGGCACACAGATCATCTGACTCCTGTCCATAGCTCCTTTCACTACCTTAACTGCTTTACAACAAAGTTACTAAATTCTCATTCATTCATTCATTCAGCACAAATTTATGAAACACATCTGATATGCCAGGAGCTGTTATAGGTAAGCACAAAATAATGAATAAAACTAAGTTCCTTTAAAAATATAAATCAACCCTGATTGGCATGGCTCAGTTTTAGTTGAGCATCGTCCCACAAAGTGAATGAGAGGCAACTGATTGATGTTTCTCTCACACATCGATGTTTCCTTCCCTCTCTTTCTCCCTCCTGTCCCTTCTCTCTAAAAGTAAATAAACACAATTTTTAAAAATAATAAAATAAATCAAAGTTGGTTTCTAAAAGTGACACCTCTCAGTGTTTTGGAATATTTTCTCACTATGGTAAAGGCAAGAGAATTGAGACAAAGATGAGAAAATGTTGTAAAATCCTTGAAATGATGGTTCAACATCAATTGAGCAGTACGTGAATTGTTTTGATAGTAAGAGAGAACATTTTCACTAAGTTAATAAGCTGAGGCCTGGAGACTCTTCCTAGTCAGGACAAGGAACCACTATGACCTGTAGCACTGGCCTAGACGTGAGGCCTCGCGTCCTGCCCGGGACGGCAGACAGGGAGCCACGGTGGAACACAGCACGGGCTTCAGGCTTTGGAGCCGCAGAAACCCGGGTTTTAAGCTGTGGCTCTGCTGGGAATGGTCTGTGACCTCAGACAAGTTGTTAACCTTCCCTCCCTCCCTCCCTCCCTCCCTCCCTCTGAATTTTGTTCATCTCTGAAATGGGGATGAAACCACTTGTATTAGATGGGTTTCATAAAAAATAGACATAACATATGTAAATCAGCTCAGTGCTAGCACCAGAGTACATCCTTAACACATATTTCTATCATTATTATTCCTAACAATAACAGTTAATGGCATTACAACACGACCTGCGGAACAGTTCTACAGGAGTAAAACTAGATACACAAATGGCCAGCAGACAGGCTTCAAAACCTTTACAGAGGCGTAGCAGCCACACTTAAAAGAGTTTTCTCCGGTTAAATACTGGGGCTGGGTTTGAACCTAGGTCGGTCAGACTACAGAACCTGAACGTGTGGCCAGTCTGTACATGTCTCCAAGCAGGAATACACTCTAGTGACCGACACATCCTCAGGAAAAAAGCTCGATTTACCCGAGAGGGCCTGGGAGGGTATGGTCTCTTCAGAACGAGGTTTGAGGGACTGTCGGTAAGGAGGTGAGAGCAGCGCTGCTTCTGGAGAAACCAAAACTGCAGACACGTAGTGAGTGCGAACAGCTCTTGCTTCTTCTTAGTAGCAATCTCGACTTCACTTGAATGGTTTCATAATCCTTACAAAACCCCCCTGAGGTACACACCAGTATCACAGAAGGCTCATGTAACTAATCTAAGGTGAGCAGCTGGTGGGTGGCCAAGCAGGGGCTGAAGTTCAGGGAGTCTTTAGGGCCCCGAGGGGAGAGGAGAGGTGTGGTCCTGGGGCTCCGGAACCTGGTCCTGGAAGTTGGAAAAGTCCTACCTACGTCTCAGTCATGCTGAGGCCCTCATCAGAGGGCATGGGAAGAACAAGAAGAGTGGGGAGTCTGTCCCTGCCTCTGACGATGGACTTGGGACAGGGAGGCACTAATGAACCATGAAGGTGTCTACGGGCCTGGAAACATCCAAAAGCCTTGTTCACCACCTGTAATGCTTTCTCACTGTGTTAAAAATTCCTGAAGGCTCACATCATCAAAATCCCATACTGTCTAACCAGCACCTAGCACAGTACCTACCGTATGAATAAGACACAATAAACACGCCTAGAAAAAGGAAAAGGGAAGTGGTAAGGAAAAACTAGAAAGGATTCTCAAATATGATATCATAGCATGATTATCAGAGCCTGGCTCTTCACAAGCGTGCTGGCTGGGGGGTTAGGAGGTTTGGGTTCTACCCAGCTCTGGAGCCAGTTGTACGAAACTGGTAAGTCTCTTATTCAACCCGGCCCTTGGGCAGCTCATAGGTGACATGGGCTGGACAAGAGGAGCTGCGAGTGAGCTAACATGTACAGGCGTCTTGCTCAGTGGCTGGCCTAGAAGAGGCTTTTTAAAAACCCGTGTTTCCTGAGAGTGCTGCTTTCCATCTTATAAACCCTGCTTTCATTTGGCTTGTCTCCCTCATTTTACAGATGAGGAAACTAAAGCACGAAGTCATAGGGCACGTCCAAGACCACCCAGTTCATCACAGTGCCCCTCAGACAGCAACCACCGCCCTCGGCCCCCAGCATCAGGCTGCTTCCTAACCGGTTAGGTGCACTTGCTTCTCTCCTGCTGTCTGTGAAGAAGCTTTTACAAACAGTCACACCACATGACTGTCTGAAATGAAGCAAGACCCATCCTCCTAAAGAGAACGGAGTACCGTATTTTGCTGTATATAATGCACACCGCGTTTTTGGCCCAAACTTTCAGGGAGAAAAATCTTTCTTTTTAATTTTTTAATTCAATTATTTATATGTAGATACTTGTTTTTTATATTATAAACAAATTTTAGCATTTATTTTTTAACATATGGATATCGTTATTACTTTCTAGAGTTATACTTTTAATGAATAAGCATAAGTAAAAGAATTAAAAACAGTAATATAGATGCAGAATTAGTACTACCCATGTATAGTGCACACCCTTATTTTTCCCCTCAAAAATCTGGGCAAAAAATTATGCATTTTACGTGGCAAAATATGGTATATAGTTTTTAATCCCCCGAGATGGAAGTTCTACCATATTTCTCAGTAGTCTGCTCCAGTTTTGATTATTAGCAGACATTGCCGATGTCTATCCCAAATCTTACATCCTGCAGTTTCAGCTCCTTATTTATCCTCAGGTGAGATAGAAAACATGGGCCATGAGGCTCTGCTACATGTATTTACCTACACAAAGATTGCTGCTAAATTGCCCTTTATCCTCTTTTCTTTCCAAGCTGCCTAGTCCCAGTTTCTTTCAATTCCCTCCTCGTTCTTTCCCAACCCTTTAATTGCCCTTGTGGCTGAACTCTCAGCCACCTCTAGACTCAACTGCTCCCCATTAATTCCTGATCACAGAACTGGGCATAATCTCCAACTATGATTTGAATGTGGACTAGGAAGCTGATTGTGTCTTGGCTCTTACTGGAGAGTTCCCTAAATTAGCATCCCAAGATCATGCTTTGGTTTCTGAGACTATAGGCAACCTTAATTTAGGCCAAAAGTAGATTATTTGCATCTTCATAGTAAATTGAAATGTAAGCTGGCTACCTCCCAAGTCTCAGCATGCTTCTGATGGCTTCCCCTCCAAGCAGCTGGGGAGGTAAGACATAAGAAAGTAAATTAGCTGAACAAGAATCCTAAAATGTGTATCAGTAAGTGGGTTTAGTTTGTGTGCACCGATATTCCTACATTAGTAGGAGTATAGATAGTTTGGTGGTAACTAAGAAGTAATGAGCTGTGGAGGCACAATTTACTTAACATGTATCATTCCTACAGTGTTTTATATTTCTTTGCACAATTTTTCTAAATTTACAATATTTTAGGAAAAAAATTTCTAAATTACTCAACAGTGTGTCTAAATTTTTTCTCTAACAGACATACATTTCTCCCATGTTTTTTACATATGCTGTTGAGGCTTGAAAAGAAAACTCTTTAAGATGTCTTTTGTTGTTTACAAAATTTAACAATTGCTTACAAAAATTAACGTCATGGTGGTAGAAAATTAGCAATCTCCTGAGCCATTTATTAACATCAACTTGAATATTTACTAGGTACCTACTAAGCACACACAGGGTACTTACCAAGCAGGACAGAATATGAACAGAGCATTAATGCCAACCCGAAAGGCTTCCCAGAGATGACACTGACCCTGACCCCTGAGGAACGGATAGGGTTTGCAGTGACACTCAGGCTGAAGAAACACATGCGAAGCAGAACTAACATGGAGCAAAGGCAGGAAGAACAGCATCCCTCACACAGCCAATGAGCTGCTGGCCAAAGAAGTGATTGGGCCAGAACAAAACTGGGTTTTAGAGAGATGCAATTTTTAAAAGTATGTTTTATTGGTTATACTATTACAGCTGTCCCAATTTTTCACCCTTTGCCCCCCTCTGCCTGGTACCCCCATTCCCTCCAGCATGCCCCCACCCTTAGTTCTTGTCCATGGGTTATGCATGTAAGTTCTTTGGCTTTTCCATTGCCTATACTGCTCTTAATCTCCGCCTGTCTACTCTGTACCTACCTATCCAATTATGCTTCTAAATCTCTATACCTTTTCCCCTATTCTCCCCCATACCCCTCCTAGCTGCTATGGAGATCCCTCCATGGGATCTCCATATCTATGATTCTATTCCTGTTCTAGCTATTTGCTTAGTTTGTTTTTGTTTCTGTTTTTTAGATTCCATTGTTGATAGTTGTAAATTTCCTGTCATTTTAATGTTCATAGATTTTATCTTCTTTTTCCTAAATAAGTTCCTTTAACATTTCATGTAATAAAGGCTTGGTGATGATGAATCCTTTGGCTTTACTTTGTCTGGGAAGCACTGCCCTTCCATTCTAAATGATAGCTTTGCTGGGTAGAGTAATCTAGGTTGTAGGTCCTTGCTTTTCATCACTTTGACTAATTCTTGCCAGTCCTTTCTTGCCTGGAAAGTTTTTTTGAGAAATCAGCTAATCGTCTTATGGTAACTCCTTTGTAAGCAACTCTCTACCTTTCTCCTGCTGCTTTTAAGATTCTTTCTTTATCCTTAATCTTTGGTATTTTAATTATGATGTGTCTTGGAGTGGACCTCTTTGGGTCTATCTTGCTTGGGACTCTGTGCTTCCTGGACTTGTATGTCTATTTCCTTTGAAAAATTAGGGAAGTTTTCTTTCATTATTTTTTCAAATAAGTTTTTAATTTCTTGCTCTTCCTCTTCTCCTTCTGGCACCCCCATGATTTGGATGTTGGCCCTTTTGGAGCTGTCTCCAAGTTTTTTTAAACTCTCCTCATTTTTTTTTTTTGAGTTTTTGTTTCTTCATTTTGTTCTGGTTGAATGTGTATTTCTTTCTTATGTTCCAAATCATTGATTTAAATCCCAGTTTCCTTCCTTTCACTGTTGGTTTCCTGTGGATTTTCCCTTAGTAGAGCCTTCATTTCTTCCCCTATGCTTTGCCGTATTCAATAAGATCTTTGAGCATTCTCACCACCAGTGTTTTGAACTCTGCATCTGATAGGTTGGCTATCTCCACATCCTGAGTTCTTTTTCTGGGGTTCTGTTCTGTTCCTTCATGTGGGCCATATTTCTTTGTCTCCTGATTTTGGCAGCCTCCCTGTGTCTGTGTAATAGGTAAAGCTGCTTTGACACCCGGCCCTGTTAAGTCGAATGGGGAGTAGCCCTGGGTGTTCCCCAGGGCAGGACAACTGTGGCTCTCTGGGAGCAGTCAAAAAGGGGACAGTGACGCTGCTGGCTGACTTCCGGGGGCCTGCCCGGCCCCTGCCCCATTTCCAGTCACTTCGCCCACTTCTCATATGCAACTGGCATTCC